CTAAGTTATCTTTATCGTTTAACACAAAGCATTTGCACCCAAACACCTTAAAATAACCAATGTTTGGCTTTCTTTTGTTCCAAAGTTCATAAGGAGTTTTGTTGAGAAGTTTTCTAATAATGACTCTATTTATGACATAGCATATGGTACTAATGGCTTCGGTCCATAGAGTTCTAGGAGATTTATGTTCATTTAACATAGTCCTAGCCATTTTTTGGAGAGACCTATTTTTCCTTTCAACAACTCCGTTTCGTTGAGGAGATCTAGAAGCCGAAAGATTATGATAATAACCATTATTATCACAAAAGCTTTCAACATCTTGGTTTTCAAACTCTTTTCCTCTATCACTCCTAATGGTCTTAATCTTACACTCTTGTTCGTTCTCAACTCTTTTGCAAAATTTAGCAAAAACTGAATGGGTTTCATTTTTGTGTGTAAGGAAAAACACCCAAGTGAATCTAGAGTAATCATCAACAATGACAAATGCATAGAGTTTTCCACCAAGACTTGCAATTCTCTCCGAACCAAATAGATTTATATGAATCAACTCAAGTGGTCTTGAAGTAGTTAAGTCCTTTTTCCTTTTAAATGATGATTTAATTTGCTTCCCTATTTGGCATGCACTACAAATTTTATCCTTTAAAAAATTAGTCTTTGGGAGGCCTTTGACTAATTCATTTTTAGATAATTTCGAGATCAAATCCATGCTAGCATGACCCAACCTTCTATGCTATAACCAACTATTTTCATTTGAAGAAACAAAGCACTTAACATCTTGATTATGTAATTTACACAAAAGCAGAGTATATACATTACCATTTCTAAGAGCATGAGATACTTCATCATTATTCCTTTTAACAATGCATTTATCCGATTGAAACAACACATGATATCCTTTATCACATAGTTGGCTAATGCTAAACAAGTTATGTTTTAAGCCTTTAACAAGTAAGACATCATCAATAGATAAGGAAGAGGATATACCAATAGATCCGATCCCGATAACCTTGCCTTTTGAATTATCTCCAAATGTAACACTTCCTCCTTTGTGAGACTTGATAGAGAGAAATTTTGATCGATCTCCCGTCATGTGTCTTGAGCAATCACTATCAAGGAACTATTTGTCCTTGAATGAGTATGGAGACTTCAAGCAAACCTACAAAAGGAATTTGAGTAATTTTCTTTTGGAACCCACAATTTCTTGGGTCCATGAGAGTTAGGAAGAGGCTTATATGTTCTTTTAATAACCCAAATTTCTTTTGTCATACATGGCCTAATAGGACAATGATTGATCTTATGTCCTAACTTCTTACAATAGTTGTATTTTGGACTAAAAGAGGAATTTTTAACAAAGTAATTGTTCAAAGGTTTTCTCTTTTTCAATAAACAAGAATCTTTGTTATGAGGATCAAAACCAAGCCCATCTTTAGCATAAGCATTTCTTTGCTTTCCAAGTATGAGGTTCAAATTTTCTCTACCTTTTGTAAATTTGGCTAAGGTTTCAACTTGATCCTCAATAATGACTTTCAATGATTCATTTTCAGCAATTAACTCAATTGAGGCCACTTCTTTAGCTAATTCTTTTTCCTTTTTCAAAGTTTCATTTTCAAGTTGAGATTTTTCAAAGTTTTGAGAAATGAAAAGTTTTTCTCTTCTAAGGCTAGCACATTTTTGAACCATTTTACCTAATTCATCATGTAATTCTGTAAAAGCATCTAGCAAATAGTTATATGCATCAACCAATTCATCATAAGAAGTTTCTAAGTCAAATGAGTAATGATTAGAGTTTACCTCATCTTCATTGGCCATGAGACAAAGATTGACCAATTTGTTGAGTTCATCGTCACTTTCGGATCCATTTGAATCATCATCCTCCCATGTAACTCTCATGGCTTTGCCTTTCTTTTTCCTTTCCTTCTCATTTTTGTAGGCATAGCAATCGGATTTAAAATGCCCCGGTTTTCCACAATGAAAGCATGTAGGTGCTTCTCTTTTTCCTTGTTCACTAGATGAGCCACTTCTTTTAAAATTGTTGCTCTTTTGAAACTTCTTCATTTGAAGGACTCTTCTCACGGTTTTGGTAATGAGGGCAATTTCTTCTTCTTCTTTATCATTAGGAGCCTTATCAATTGTGACTTCTTTGGTAGTAGCTTGAAGAGCAATGTCCTTCTTTTGAGTCTTTTTTTCTTCATCTCTATCATTCATTTCAAGTTCATATGCCATCAATGAACCAATGAGTTCATCTATGGGAAGTGTGTTGAGATTCTTGGCTTCTTGGATGGCGGTCTTCTTTGCTTCCCAATTCTTAGGTAATGACCTAAGAATTTTTCTCACGTTCTCGGATGATGTGTATGACTTTCCAAGAGCCTTCAAAGGATTCACAATGTTAGTAAAACGAGAGTACATTTCACTAATAGTTTCTTTGCCATTCATGGTAAAAAGTTCATATTTATGTATAAGCATATTCATTTTGGATTCCTTAACATGACTACTACCTACATAAGTAACTTCAAGTTTATCCTAAATTTCTTTAGCCATTTCGCAATCCGAAATTCTATTGAATTCGTCTTTGCTTAAGGCACAATAGAGATTTGTAATGGCTTTGACATTGCATTGTACAAGCCTACGGTCATTTAGGGTCCATTCAATATCAGGTGTTGGAACATTTTCACCATTTACTACCTTGGTTGGAACATGGTCTCCTTGTTCGGTGGCTTTCCAAACATCTATATCTATTCTTCTTAGGAATGCTCTCATTTTGATTTTCCAATAATTGTAGTCACTTCCATCAAACCATGGAGGTCTATTGTTAGATTGACCTTCTTGGTGAAACATTGTATTTGCCATGATCTTTCTCTAAGATGGTTAAATCTTTTTCTAGAGATTAGGCTCTGATACCAATTGTTAGTCACTAATTGACTCGCCGCCGGGGGGGGGGGGGTGAATAGAGTCAATGGCCAATGTTTGTAATTTAAAAATTTATCTTCAACAACATAGAATGCAATACACAATAAAAATATTCAAGCAATATAAGTGCAATCAAAGAGGATAGAGATAGAGAATTGCAAACAGTGACTCGGCGATTTAGCGAGGTTCGGAAGCTCCTACTCCTCGGCTCAAAGTCCTCCCTTGAGACTTTCCAAAATCACTAAAGCTCCTCCTTAATGGTGGAGAACAAACCGTTAATTGAAGCACAACTATGCTTCTCTTCCTTGCTTGGAGAACACCTTTCTCCTAAGCTTTGGTTTTGGGTCACACCAACCCTTACAAGATGGTAGAGATATGAAAATGAGGATTACAATATTGTTTCTCTCTCTCTCTCTCTCTCTCTAGAAGATATTACAAGAATAATTCTCACACTAGGGTGAGTAGATGAAATAAATGAAGCTCTAGTCTCTCAACTGATATGAGAGAGAAAATGAGAAGTAAATGCTCAGATCAGAATGTCAGGCTCTTTGAATGCTCTTGAATGATAATCTTGAATTCTCTCATAAAGAAGTTCGTTTGTTTGTAGACTATCTATCTGTATTTGAAGAGATTTCGAGTTCAATAGAGCTGTTGTAGGTGGTTGGAAGCATTAAATGAAATTCTAGCCGTTTGAATTTTGAATCTACAGAGCTGTGACCAAACCGGTCGACGTGTGTCATAAACCGGTCGACATATCCTTTATCAAGCCGGTCGACATATGCTACTTACCGGTCGACATATATGTTGATTTCCTGAGATTTTCGTACTGCCTAGATACCGGTCGACGTATATGAGCACTTCATTAAATTTTGCTTCTGTATAGATACCGGTCGACGTATGTGTCAAACCGGTCGACGTATGTGAGCTGTTCTTTGAGTTTTGCCTCTACAGAGATACCGGTCGATGTATGGCACAAACCAGTCGACGTATATTGCTGATAATGCTGTTTTGAGCTCCTTTTTGTTGTACTTTGTCAATCACCATAATTTGACATTTTAAACTTTGTTAAGTGCACCTTGTATGAGTGTTTATATCCTCTTATCTTTGCATCCTCTTGTTGCTTTAGTTGACCATATTCTTTGTAGAATGTTTGCAGCCTTTTGACGTTTCAAAAATGTGCATCTGATTCCATATAATGACATGAAAATCATTTCTTTTCTTCAATAAATAAACATTCATTTTTCCTTGCATTTAAACTCAGTTGAAATATTAGAATATAAAACATCTTTAACTGATTTGTTATCATCAAAACAAATGGATTAGGGCTTTTGATCAACAATATATATATATATATATATATATATATGGTGAGGGGTAGTAAAGGAATATAAGAAGGGCAATTCCGGAATAAAGGCTTTAAAATGGTCATGTGCATGGCACATAACCAATTGGCGTCCAATTTCCACCATAATTCTCACCGAAGGTGGCTTAATTGCACATTTTTATATCTAATATGGATTTATATAAATATATTTAACTAAATGGGTGTAATTCACACAAATTTAAAATTACATGGGTGTTTTTCAGACTTTTCCCCTTTAATTTATGCAATACAATTTTTAAATATATAAAAATATTATACTCCATGCGTCTCAATTTAAGTGTCGTTTATGGGGGAGTAGCAATTTTTAAGAGGACATGTGGGACATGCATTGTCTCTGTAAAGTTATTAACTTGTCCTTTTATTTTTTTGAATATTCAAGTTTTAAATTTTAAACTTTAAGGATATATATGAAAAGATGTGCAATATTTTATTTAAAAAGTGAAAGATTACAATTATTTTGTGACAGAGAAAAAAAAAAACATAGATGACACAAAGTATTTTTTTTTCTTGAAGTCTTTTTATCATTGAATTTTTTCTAGCAAGGTTTTAAGGAGATATATTCCGTGTAGACTCCAATGATAGTGTTGCAGGATCCACGTCACTATTATACTCCATGAATTTTTTTTTTTTCTCAATTTTTAATTTACCAAAAAGAAAAAACCTGTGGCTCTATGCAAATATTTGCCTCGACGATAGCGCGAGTCCTGAGTTGTGACCAGTTCCTGACATCAACGGAGTGATAACGTGGTTGATCTCCGCCACCTGGCTCTGGGTCAACTATCAAACATCTTCCGTCTTATCAAATAATTCTTCTACTCTAGAATGATTTGCTGAGGGAGACATTAAACCAATTATTTATTTATTCTGAAGCAAATTATAGGTAAGGAAAGAGATAAGAGAGAGTTATAGAGAGATAAGAGAGTTATAGACTGTCCGAGAGAGGAGTTGAAGATACAGATTTCTACAGACAGAAGAGAAATTCTTCTGCAGATATAAAGAAAGGAGGCTGAAAGAGAAATTTCTGTGGAACAGAAGTTACAGAACAGAGATTTCTGCATATATATATATATATATATTATATGTAGAGAGAGAGAGGATAATAAGAGATTTTGAGAGGAAGAAAAACAGCTATCAGCAGCGAGAGAGAGATTTTCGTCAACATATAAAAACCAAACCTAGGGTTTCGAAATTCTGGTTTGTTTACGGCTTTGATTCTGCGACTGAAATGACAACGCCATTATCTGGGCGAGATGGAGGAGGAGGAGGCGTAGCTGTATTGTCTAGCGCTTTAAATCCCGTCGATTCATCATCATCTAAAGCATGTTTCGATGGTTCTGAGCAAAAATCTCCAATCCTTTTCTTTCTGTTTTTCCACAAAGCTATACGTTCAGAGCTAGATACGCTTCACCGATCTGCCATGGCGTTTGTGATTGGCCAAAGAGTCGACATACAGCCATTGTTTGACCGGTATCACTTTCTTAGATCAATTTACAAGCATCACTCCAACGCCGAGGATGAGGTCTGCCTTTAACATCTTCAATCTTTCTTTTCCTTGAACTGTAAATGTTCAATTCCCTAAAATTTGATTATCTTTTTCTAAAATACAGTAATTCGTAATTACTTATCAAAAAAAAATTACAGTAATTCGTATTTGACTTTGGTTTTTTTTTTTTTTTTTTTTAAACTTTTTTCTTTACTTCCAGTTGTGCTGTATTTGATTTAACCAATGACTTTGGATTTATAAGGTAGATTGTGCTGTTAGCTTTGAATGTTATTTTACTGATATATACACACACACCTTGTTACTTTATTGCTGTAGCCATTTTGTCTCTAAATAACCAAAGAAATGAAGCATAAAAAATTTCCATTACGGCCCTCCAATTTCACTTGAAGGCTTGGTTTTAATGATGTAGGAACGATTTAAAAAAATTAAATCTAAGAAAGAATGGAAAAAGAGAATTCTTGTAGCCAACCCCATTAAAACCAAGTCTTTAAGTGAAAGTATGGGATAAAGGCAAGGATGATGAAGACGTCGATGATTTAATGATGTAATCTGCCTTCAAAATCATAGGTGTTTTAGTGGGTCTGGTAGCAAATACCAAGCCAGTCAGTTTAGAGAAGAGAAGAATGGTGCTCCCTCAGCGTCTCTGCCCATGCCTAATACTGATGTGACAACACCCCCTTCCTTTCCCCTTCCTTTTCCAAGAGATCATCCATCAAAATCATACTTGACTATCCCTATGGGTGATGGCTCCTAGAAATCAGAAGTTAACTACTATAGGGATGAAAGAACGACGCTCAATAGTTTATACATTGTCACTTTGAATTAGAATATTTTACTAGGTCCATTTTTTGTGATACATGCTTTTGTTGCAACTGGAAGAGACAAGAGAGAGACTCCCAAATCCATGATACATTGTTCTTGGATAAAATCATTATATACTTGAAAGAAAAGATAAAACTCATAATTAGACGCGACGAACAAACTGCTAACATTGTTCAGCTTACCTACTTAGTTTGGATAAACCATTGCTGATAAGCATTATATGGCCAAGTGGAAACTTGTGTTTACAGATTCTGTTTGCAGAAGGGAATGACTGTTATTTCCCAACTTTTGATGCAAATGCAAAGTCATGTCATGTGAAGGTGTCAATCCAGTGGATATACATGATGGTAATCCACCACATAATATTCAGTTATTCACAACTAAATAGATCAAGCTTCCCGCCGTCATGATTTTATGATTTTGTCATCTAAGTTTGATTAATTTAATTAGTCATGTGAAAAGAATCCACTTGTGATTTGATGATGTTTATGATCAACATTCAATGTGCTGATTTCTTCTTCCTACCATATTTTAATTCCACTGTTAACATAACCACTAAATTTGTGATTATCTTTTTGGTATGGAGAGGTGAAACAAGTTATCTTATAGTTGTTGGAGTATGGCTGAAGTCTGAACTATGTAGAAGGGGTGGGTGAAGCAATTAAAACATAAGGGGAATGGTTTTAGGATTCATAAAATCATGGTTTAAAGTCTTGAATTTAGATTCGGTAAAATAAAGGCTTGTTTGGTTCAATTATTTGAAACAGTTTTGAAGAACTCCAAAAACATAAAAACAATTTTTAAAGAACTATAAAAGAAAGTTTTCTGAGTTCAGGCCTTTCTTTTTCATAAATTTGTTTCTAGGAAACTGACAACCAAATGAAATCTTGAGATGTTCCCTATTTTTTAGATTACAGTTATAAAACTTAATCAAATAGAGACCACTAAGCTTTGAATAGTACCGGTGAATATTCACTTGCAGCAAACATTGCCTTCAGAAGAATATAATAATAGAGAAAATGTGAGAAATTACATGAGAAAAAGAGTAAGAGAGACACCCCACTCCATGAAGATTTGCTTCAGGTTTATGCCCATAAAGTAGTTTGGGAGTTCCATTCCCACTCAAACCAGAAAGTAGCCGTAGAATTATATTATTGGCCTGTTTCTTATATTTTTGATAGTCATAGAATTTGTCTTTTTGATAAGTAAGATTTCATTAAAAGTGCTCAAGAGGGGAGCACACCCAACGATATTCAAAAGGAACAGATTTTTTTTCTTTTTTTCTTTTAAGTTAAAGCAAACACACACACACACACCCATTACCACATCATGCCTACAATGGGACTCGAACTCTCAACCTCCCATTTGGGAAGGAGAGATCATACCATATGGGCTAGAGGCCCAGTGGTTAAACTTTTTAAAATTGGTTTACTCCATATTGCAAGTAATACTTAAAGCTCCTTTAAAAAAAGTTTCTAAGCTACTAATAAGCTGGATTACTTTTACAACTAAGAAAAAGTCTTTTAAGCAAGATTTTCTCCACAAATTTTTGCATTTGATGTAGTGAGATTCCATTTATCTTAGTTAGAGTCCCAAAGACCTTACTGTGATTATAAGGTTATCTTCTCTTTCTTCTTCCTTTTTTCTTCTTTAATTTAATTTTCAGCACAGTGTGCATGATTAAAATCCTCAACCAAAGCACTCTAATATATTCAACCAAACCCGAACCTTTTGATCATAAACCCTTAGCATTCTAGTCCTAACTTCTAATACCCCTTGATTATTTATTGAGGTTCGGAAATTCCAGCAAGCTTTTCCTTCTAATACCCCTTGATTATTTATTGGTGTGAATAGAACTCTTTCAAAGTGTGCGCAGTAAATATAAAGTTGGATAGATTGCTTCTCAATAATATGGATGAGCTTGTGTGCAATAAATTCTTTGTTTGAGTGCTTTTTTTTTGTGTCTCTAAGACTACTGATGGAGCAGTGGCAGGAGCTTCTTTTATATTGGTGGATTTGATTCTTTCTACTTGAGTTGCAGCCGCCACAACCAACTAGCAGAATACGAAGAACCAGAGCAAAGAAAAAGAAAAGATGAGATTCCTTTTTGACCTCGGAAGGGGCATAGGACCTTAATGACGCCCGGTCTTCCTGATTGAGATGTTTAACTGCCCATTCCTAAAGCATAGAACCCACTTACTTCTCCCAAGCACAGTAAGGGAAGCTCCAGCTTACTCTGAAGAACCTACTCCAGCTAACATGGAATGAGAAAATAGCACTTTCTTGAGTGTCAGCTTGCATGTTTTATAACCTTTGGTCAGTTGATTTCTTTTCTCTCTTTGCCCAAGGTAAGGTGGTAGTTGTGGGCGAAAGGACGAGTACTTTAATAATGATTCTAAGGGGTCTTTACTTAATAAGTATTTTGTTTTGACTCGCCTGGAAAAGATTAGACACCTTAATCATTAGTATTTCTCTAAGCTTGTTTTTACTTTTTTGAAGTAATCTTAAAACCCATTCAAATTAGAGTTGTTTGTATCTTAAACCTCTTCAATTCTACCTTCTCAATCATAGCCCCTCAAACTAAAGCCTAATCAACTAAAGCTCCATCTAGCATCAGAATTTATCCCGTCTAACATCAGTTATTTCAGACCTTACACCGAGCTATTCTGTCAATTATTGTCATTGGATGGCATAACAGAACTTGCATTTACTATATATATATATATTTTTCCCTCAAGTAATACTTTTTATTTTTATTTTTTATAAGTAAGTTATCTTAATACTTTTTAAATAAAAAATCATGAAACTGGTATTGCAAGGGGAAATGCGTATTTTAAAATTTTAATTTGTTGCTGTCAAAAAAAAAAAAAAAAAAAAAAAATTTGTGTTACTCTTAACGGAGGGGTTATGACAAATCTTAGTGGTGGTCAATTTGTCTGACAGGGGAGGTCAATTTAATTTTTCAAAGAGGAGGGAAGTCTGTATATAATTATGACAAATCTTAGTGGAGGTCACTATAATTTACCACAATGATTTTATTTTTCTTCATTTAAGAACCATATGTCAAATAGAATGTTTTCGAGGAGATGGATTGAGTTATGCATTTCTTCTGTGAGATGTTCGGTTCTGGTAAACAGGTCTCCTTTTGGTTTCTTTGGTAGCTTGTAGGGTTTGAGTCAGGGGGATCACTATCTTCCTTCTTGTTCATCATTGTTTTTTTTTATAAGTAAAATTGTATTAGAAAGCGTTCAAAAGGGGAACGCATCCCAAGAGAAGTACAATAAACAAGAATGAAACAAATACAAGAAAAAAGTCTTATGGCCCCAAAGACCCCAAAAAATCCATGATATCCTCAACAGAAGAACAATCTCTCCCCGTACCCCAACTAAAAAGAGAACAAATGATCGAGTATTTTAACACCCCTATGGGTAACTCCTCCCATCAAAGGATCTTCTATTACGTTCTTTCCACAGGCACCACCAAATACAAAGAGGAGTCGCCCTCTAGAAATCACAAGCACAAAACCCCACCCTTTGCCCCTTCCAGATATCCATAATACCCCTAGTGGTCCGAGGCATAACCCATTGGACGCCAAAAAGACTCAACATAAGACTCCAACAGTTATGGGCCACTGGGCAATGCAAGAGAAGATGGTCCACAGGCTCTCCATCGACCATACACAAACAACAACACCGATTAACAATGATATGACGTCTCTTCCTTAAATTGTCCAGAGTCAAAATCTTACCCCAAACAGCAGTCCAAGCAAAGAAAGCCACCCTAAGGGGAGCCTTCGACTGCCAAATTGTTTTCCACGGATAAGAATAAGTCTGAAAGCCGGAAATATAGAAGAAGAAAGACGGACCTGAAAAATCCCTTTTGAAGAAGGCACCCAAGTCAAGAGGTCCGCCCCAGTACCATCCACCTTCTGTCGATACAAAAGATCCAACAAACCAACAATATCATCTAGCTCTAAATCCTGAAAGGCACACCAGAACTGTACATCCCAAGAAAACCTACCGCTATCAAGGTGATAACAGTCGGCAACCAAAGCATGACGATCCACAGCAATCCTATACAACCTTGGAAACCGTCTACACAATGGACGTTCATCGCACCAAAGATCCTCCCAAAACCGGACATTTCGACCTTCCCGAACCCTGAATCTAATATGCTTAGAAAACTCATCCCAA